GAGAGAGAGAGCATGTGTGTGTGTGAGCGTGCATCTATATATGTGTGCACTACTATGGTAAAATCCACAAGCGAAACTCTCACAATGATGAGCAACGAAAGTGAACTTAAGAGGGGAGAAACGCAAAAAAAGAAAAAAGGAAAAATAAAAACGAACAGCATCTGCGTCGAACGCTCTGATCAAATCATTGATTGCTGATGCGTTACATCACAGTCATGCAAACAAGCCCCCCTTTTTAAAACGACTTGAGCACTGCCAACCCCCCACCACCACCACCACCACCACCCACCCCCCATCTTTTTTATTTCCCCTCATCCCCATCTTCTCTTCTCCTCATCTGCCTCGAAGTATGTCCACATCAGCATCTCATTTTCTTCCAGTTGTTCTTGTTCAGCCTCGTACCTCAGCTTCCCATCTCGTTACCAAAATTAATTGAATTAAAAACAGTAGGAAGACGTGTTATTATTACAAATAAATATATTAAAAAAATCTCATCCAGGACATGTTGTTTGCCCGTAAAATACCTGCCTGACACCCCCGCCCCCCCAAATGAAACCAGTGCAGTGCAGCCTCCAAAATGAATTCCACCTACTACCTGTTCTGCACTCTCCATAACCCCGATGTGGCGTCGCAAACACCGCTTTCTGCAGCCGTCAGTAAACCTGTGTTAGTGCAGTTCTTGAGCAGATGTGCTGCTTTAAATGTAAACTGCATAGAGACACGCAGAGCATTCCCACAAACTGCAGCAGGTTTACTAAAGGTACAAGTATTAAGCATCCTGAATCCTTTCCYGGTAAACATTAGAGCCATTATCTAGGGGAGAGAGCAAAAAAAAAAAAACAAGCTTCCCTTTGCTGTTTTCTAGCGTAAAGAAGGTTTAAGAAATCAATCACAGTGGGATGAGAATGACCGTTTAAAAGAACTTCCTGCCTGAGATCAGGTCCAAACAGGCGGATCGGGTGGCCTAACCCAGACTATGTATCCGTAACAGCTCAACACTTTCCCTTTTACTCTGTGGGGAACTGAATCCAGGTATGTAGGTCCTCGCCAGGAGAGCAGAGGAGCCTTTGCATCCTGGTAATACTGTTTACCTTAGATTGCAGCACAAACTGCTGACTGTTGATTTTATTTTATGTTTTTTATTTTTTTCTGTGGGATGGCATCAAGTCTTGGCCAAGTCTGTTGAACATTTGCATTTGAAGTGAAACTGGTTCTTGTGACAGCCCAAAACAAAAGGCACAAAAAGAAAAAAGAAAAGATGCAAGAATATAATGAWCAATGCTTTTGTGAAAAACTATAAAAAGCAAAGCAGCTGTGATCAAGCTGTAACAGGAACGACTGAGGCGAAAAAAAAAAACTAAAGAAGCTACAGATCAGGGAGGGTTAACTTGTTACTCTTACACCTGTGTGATCAAATGCTTTTAAAACATTCAGAAGATAAACCRTTGCACTTTTGCACAAAAATCAATACAGACAGTCCCGACACAGTTGGGAAGTTACGCAGAACAGATCTGAGGCTTGTGTGAAAGRCATTCAACTGGGACAGGAGAAACTGAAGGGGAAAATACAGCAGCGTGTGGATCCACCAAGGGCAAATGTGGGGAAAAGACGCAGACTAACACAAGCTTATCAAACAGGACAAAATAAATCCCATAGAGCAGTGTAATGAAGGATGCAAGAAGCCTGCATTAATCAAAATCGTCTGATAATTGATAAATGATGCACAGATTGTTGCATCAACTTGTTGTTGGATGCTGATCTGCAGCAACTGCATGGCTCAGATACCATTTTCCTTTTTTTATTTTTTAAGTTATCAGCATTAATAATTCAGGATCAGTCAGGCTGCTGCTGTTTAATACCCACAGATTACATGCCAGCAGTCAGGGACCTGTAGTTAAACCATGTCGGTCTGCGATGTGTTAATAAGAACATTTGAAAAAAAAAAACCAACGTTTAAACGATCAACATGGGATGATGTGAGGCTTTGGGGTGGGAGGGGTGCAACAGTGTGGGTGAAGTTGCAGCAACTCACCCGGGCGTATTTGGAGGAGTAGGGGTCCTCAAACAGAGCCCATATCCGGGGCTGCCAGGTCTTCCACCAGCCGGCTCTCCTCGCGTCCTCCTGCAGGCACAGTCTTTTCAGGTCCCCGTCGGCGCCCCCCAGAGCCGGGTCGTCGTCCGGCGCGTCCGGCTCCGGGGTCTCGAAGCTGTCCAGCGCCTCCTCGGCGTCCCGGTGCTGGCGGTAGTTCATCCAGCAGCACGCCTCCACGTCCGTCTCATCGATGCCCCAGAAGGCCAGCTCCTCCTCGAACAGGGGGCCGCACACGTCGTTGGGACAGTGCAGCTTGCCGGTGCGGTAGTAGTTGAGGATGAAGGAGAACACCGACGGGTGGCGGTCGAAGAAGAACTCGTCCAGTTTGGGGTCGTAGTCGAAGTTGCTGAAGGCGTCMGGCTCGGTGAGCCACGACAAGCGGGTCCCCGGCAGCGTCTTCAGGGTGCTCCGGTACGTCTCATGCCGCACCCCCCCGCAGTTTATCACGATTTTCTCGCTTTCCGACGGACAAGTCATGTCTGCGCTGTAACATGCTTTGTTGGACGACTTGTTCCCACCCTTGCGCCCTTTGAAAGAGGATACACACACCGAACTGAGCATAGAGGACCGGGGGGGAGGAGGGAGAGGATGAGAGAAACCGGAGGGAGGAGGAGGAGGAGGAGGAGGAGGAGGAGGGAGGAGGAGTCTGCGGGAAGAGGAGAGAAGAGAAAAAAAAGGGTGGACATTTTTAAGCAGAAAGGGAGAGATAGATCAACATTCAATGCAATTAGGATTATTATAGGATGTGTGTGCACTGTGATTCACACAACGACCTTGTGGGAAAAGTTTCGCACAATCATCATCATCATCGCCATCATCATCATCATCATCATGCCAGTGCATGGCAGGGGAAAAAAAACAGGTGGCTCTGACTCTGAACACACTGAATGAGTCAGAATCCACAGTGATGAGATCTGAAGTGTCCCAGGAGCTCTCAGCTTCCCTTATTCCCTCCACTGAGTCCCGTTTTCCTTGACACACTAACACCCAACAATCTCTAAACTGCAAATCTAGTTAATGCTGGAGTCAGTGTTCATTCAAATCTTCCCCTTAATTAGGCCAACACACTCAGCCATCACTCCATTTCTTCCTCGCGCTCAGGAGGACTTTACAGGAAGGAGTGACATCAGGAGGGAGAGAGGAGGGGAAAAACAATGGGGATCTATTTCTTCCCCCCACTTTCTCAGAGAACACCTCTATGACGTGGTGGTGCGGAGTGTTTCAGCATGTGTTGTATGTGTGTGTTAATTGCCTCCCGAGAGTGTGGTGTCCGTACTAATGTTAGATCTCCTCAATCAGCTTATGTGTGAGCTGCACAAACTGCTGCAGCCCCCTCCGTMCGCACCGAGATTCATGCGATGCACAATGATGCCAGAGCTCTCGCTGCCACTTTTTCCCCCCATGCATCGAGTGTGCAAAGAAGAAGAAGAAGAAGAGAGGAAGGTGACAGGACAAAAAATGGGGGGGGGGGGGGGGGAGAAA